GGATGAACGATTAAAAGTCAGCGCTGAGCTTCAATCTCTGATGTTAAAAAACACAAACCAAGCTGGAAATCCAGGTGTAATTATGGATTCGGACCTCAACCTGAACAGTCATATAGGCATGCAAAGTTACACAAGTTTGTTGACTTGATAAATGCTGGCAGCATGCTTCCATACTAGATGAACGTGCAATAATTGCTTGAATTCAAAGTAATATAAATGACCAAATAACAGATTCAATATATTTAGGCAAACCTTCACTGAGGAATTTCTAAATGTACATTAAGTAAAATTGAAATCTCTTTTTACAGGGCCTGCAGCTGTTTCTGGCGTCACGGCAATTGGAAACACAACTGCAATGACAGTGAGCTGGAAAGAAGCAGTGGGACTGGTGGGCTCGTACGCTGTATTGCTTTTCAGAGACAATCTCATGGTGAAAAACGTCACAGACCTGAGCAACTTTACTACGAATGTGGGGTTTACGGATCTGATACCTGGAGTGCTTTCCTGTGTGGAAGTGGTCACCACAAGTGGACCTTTAATGAACGCAGCCTCAAGGGTCTGCAACGCAACTTGTGAGTTACACCAACAATGTGATTTAGAAGGGGTCAATTTAAGGTTCAATACTGGGCCACTTCTCTTCAACATCTACATGCTTCCATTGGCTCAGATTAGGGAAAACAACAAAGAGTATTATCATAGTCATGCAGATGACACACAAATCTATATAACTATATCACCAGGGGACTACAAACCAATACAGGGGCTGTGTAATTGCATTGAACAAATCAACAACTGGATGTGTCAAAAAAAAAATTCAATTAAACAAAGATAAAACATAAGTAATTTTTTTTGCTAGGACGGATGAACGATTAAAAGTCAGCGCTGAGCTTCAATCTCTGATGTTAAAAAACACAAACCAAGCTGGAAATCCAGGTGTAATTATGGATTCGGACCTCAACCTGAACAGTCATATAGGCATGCAAAGTTACACAAGTTTGTTGACTTGATAAATGCTGGCAGCATGCTTCCATACTAGATGAACGTGCAGTAATTGCTTGAATTCAAAGTAATATAAATGACCAAATAACAGATTCAATATATTTAGGCAAACCTTCACTAAGGAATTTCTAAATGTACATTAAGTAAAATTGAAATCTCTTTTTACAGGGCCTGCAGCTGTTTCTGGCGTCACGGCAATTGGAAACACAACTGCAATGACAGTGAGCTGGAAAGAAGCAGTGGGACTGGTGGGCTCGTACGCTGTATTGCTTTTCAGAGACAATCTCATGGTGAAAAACGTCACAGACCTGAGCAACTTTACTACGAATGTGGGGTTTACGGATCTGATACCTGGAGTGCTTTACTGTGTGGAAGTGGTCACCACAAGTGGACCTTTAATGAACGCAGCCTCAAGGGTCTGCAACGCAACTTGTGAGTTACACCAACAATGTGATTTAGAAGGGGTCAATTTAAGGTTCAATACTGGGCCACTTCTCTTCAACATCTACATGCTTCCATTGGCTCAGATTAGGGAAAACAACAAAGAGTATTATCATAGTCATGCAGATGACACACAAATCTATATAACTATATCACCAGGGGACTACAAACCAATACAGGGGCTGTGTAATTGCATTGAACAAATCAACAACTGGATGTGTCAAAAAAAAAATTCAATTAAACAAAGATAAAACATAAGTAATTTTTTTTGCTAGGACGGATGAACGATTAAAAGTCAGCGCTGAGCTTCAATCTCTGATGTTAAAAAACACAAACCAAGCTGGAAATCCAGGTGTAATTATGGATTCGGACCTCAACCTGAACAGTCATATAGGCATGCAAAGTTACACAAGTTTGTTGACTTGATAAATGCTGGCAGCATGCTTCCATACTAGATGAACGTGCAATAATTGCTTGAATTCAAAGTAATATAAATGACCAAATAACAGATTCAATATATTTAGGCAGACATTCACTAAGGAATTTGTAAATGTACATTAAGTAAAATTGAAATCTCTTAATACAGGGCCTGCCGCTGTTTCTGGCGTCATGGCAATTGGAAACACAACTGCAATGACAGTGAGCTGGAAAGAAGCAGTGGGACTGGTGGGCTCGTACGCTGTATTGCTTTTCAGAGACAATCTCATGGTGAAAAACGTCACAGACCTGAGCAACTTTACTACGAATGTGGGGTTTACGGATCTGATACCTGGAGTGCTTTACTGTGTGGAAGTGGTCACCACAAGTGGACCTTTAATGAACGCAGCCTCAAGGGTCTGCAACGCAACTTGTGAGTTACACCAACAATGTGATTTAGAAGGGGTCAATTTAAGGTTCAATACTGGGCCACTTCTCTTCAACATCTACATGCTTCCATTGGCTCAGATTAGGGAAAACAACAAAGAGTATTATCATAGTCATGCAGATGACACACAAATCTATATAACTATATCACCAGGGGACTACAAACCAATACAGGGGCTGTGTAATTGCATTGAACAAATCAACAACTGGATGTGTCAAAAAAAAAATTCAATTAAACAAAGATAAAACATAAGTAATTTTTTTTGCTAGGACGGATGAACGATTAAAAGTCAGCGCTGAGCTTCAATCTCTGATGTTAAAAAACACAAACCAAGCTGGAAATCCAGGTGTAATTATGGATTCGGACCTCAACCTGAACAGTCATATAGGCATGCAAAGTTACACAAGTTTGTTGACTTGATAAATGCTGGCAGCATGCTTCCATACTAGATGAACGTGCAGTAATTGCTTGAATTCAAAGTAATATAAATGACCAAATAACAGATTCAATATATTTAGGCAAACCTTCACTAAGGAATTTCTAAATGTACATTAAGTAAAATTGAAATCTCTTTTTACAGGGCCTGCAGCTGTTTCTGGCGTCACGGCAATTGGAAACACAACTGCAATGACAGTGAGCTGGAAAGAAGCAGTGGGACTGGTGGGCTCGTACGCTGTATTGCTTTTCAGAGACAATCTCATGGTGAAAAACGTCACAGACCTGAGCAACTTTACTACGAATGTGGGGTTTACGGATCTGATACCTGGAGTGCTTTACTGTGTGGAAGTGGTCACCACAAGTGGACCTTTAATGAACGCAGCCTCAAGGGTCTGCAACGCAACTTGTGAGTTACACCAACAATGTGATTTAGAAGGGGTCAACTTAAGGTTCAATACTGGGCCACTTCTCTTCAACATCTACATGCTTCCATTGGCTCAGATTAGGGAAAACAACAAAGAGTATTATCATAGTCATGCAGATGACACACAAATCTATATAACTATATCACCAGGGGACTACAAACCAATACAGGGGCTGTGTAATTGCATTGAACAAATCAACAACTGGATGTGTCAAAAAAAAAAATCAATTAAACAAAGATAAAACATAAGTAATTTTTTTTGCTAGGACGGATGAACGATTAAAAGTCAGCGCTGAGCTTCAATCTCTGATGTTAAAAAACACAAACCAAGCTGGAAATCCAGGTGTAATTATGGATTCGGACCTCAACCTGAACAGTCATATAGGCATGCAAAGTTACACAAGTTTGTTGACTTGATAAATGCTGGCAGCATGCTTCCATACTAGATGAACGTGCAGTAATTGCTTGAATTCAAAGTAATATAAATGACCAAATAACAGATTCAATATATTTAGGCAAACCTTCACTAAGGAATTTCTAAATGTACATTAAGTAAAATTGAAATCTCTTTTTACAGGGCCTGCAGCTGTTTCTGGCGTCACGGCAATTGGAAACACAACTGCAATGACAGTGAGCTGGAAAGAAGCAGTGGGACTGGTGGGCTCGTACGCTGTATTGCTTTTCAGAGACAATCTCATGGTGAAAAACGTCACAGACCTGAGCAACTTTACTACGAATGTGGGGTTTACGGATCTGATACCTGGAGTGCTTTACTGTGTGGAAGTGGTCACCACAAGTGGACCTTTAATGAACGCAGCCTCAAGGGTCTGCAACGCAACTTGTGAGTTACACCAACAATGTGATTTAGAAGGGGTCAATTTAAGGTTCAATACTGGGCCACTTCTCTTCAACATCTACATGCTTCCATTGGCTCAGATTAGGGAAAACAACAAAGAGTATTATCATAGTCATGCAGATGACACACAAATCTATATAACTATATCACCAGGGGACTACAAACCAATACAGGGGCTGTGTAATTGCATTGAACAAATCAACAACTGGATGTGTCAAAAAAAAAAATTCAATTAAACAAAGATAAAACATAAGTAATTTTTTTTGCTAGGACGGATGAACGATTAAAAGTCAGCGCTGAGCTTCAATCTCTGATGTTAAAAAACACAAACCAAGCTGGAAATCCAGGTGTAATTATGGATTCGGACCTCAACCTGAACAGTCATATAGGCATGCAAAGTTACACAAGTTTGTTGACTTGATAAATGCTGGCAGCATGCTTCCATACTAGATGAACGTGCAATAATTGCTTGAATTCAAAGTAATATAAATGACCAAATAACAGATTCAATATATTTAGGCAAACCTTCACTAAGGAATTTCTAAATGTACATTAAGTAAAATTGAAATCTCTTTTTACAGGGCCTGCAGCCGTTTCTGGCGTCACGGCAATTGGAAACACAACTGCAATGACAGTGAGCTGGAAAGAAGCAGTGGGACTGGTGGGCTCGTACGCTGTATTGCTTTTCAGAGACAATCTCATGGTGAAAAACGTCACAGACCTCAGCAACTTTACTACGAATGTGGGGTTTACGGATCTGATACCTGGAGTGCTTTACTGTGTGGAAGTGGTCACCACAAGTGGACCTTTAATGAACGCAGCCTCAAGGGTTTGCAACGCAACTTGTGAGTTACATTGTGATATTTAAAAATTGGTATATTCCACATACATTGTATTGTATATGTGCTGCATGTACTTAGACCAATATTTATTTTAGTAATGCCTGTAGCGTTTAAAAACAGCCTTCCATCTCCTCTTCAGTTCCCAACCCTCCTGGCCCCATCATGGTGGAGTCTCAGACCGTGAACTCCATCAACTTCACCTGGCCCTTTCCAGGGGGCATGGATTATACCCAGTACAACTTCAGTGTGTCCAGCCATAACGGTTCCTCTGTGATCAGTAAAAACTGGTATGTGCTGCAAAACCTCGAGTCTGGAAGCCCCTACAATCTCTCTGTTGTTACTGTAGGCGTGTTGCACTATGAGAGCACTGCAGTGACCACATTCAAATACACCAGTGAGTATGATTGGGATGATTTTCATCATTTCATTTTTTCAAGTTTCTCTTACTGTTGGTTTATGGTTTTCATGAATTATTCATTCATCTTTTCACAAATGTAATATTTAAGTCACATATATTTTTTTAAATGGTTACACTGACTAGTTCCAAAGAAATATTCGCTATTAAGGTTCACCTTCACTGTCTAGTAACCTTGACATCTCTTAAATCTCTTTTAAACAATTAGGACCGTTGAGTGTGAACAATCTTACGACTTCTACAGAAGAGGACAGCATCACTGTCATGTGGGAGAAACCTGATCAATACAAGGAAAGCTATTGTTACATTCTGAGCTGGCACAGCTCAGATGAGTCTATTAGGAATACACCAATAACAAGATTTTATTCTAAAATTAATGACCTGGTTCCTGGCAAACAATACAACATAAGCGTCACCACAGAGACCGTTGATGGAACGGAAGGTGCTCCAATATGGATTTCCGTCTGCACAAGTATGAACAAAAGAGCTTGTTTGTTTTGTATATTTCCATATGATATTGTCCTGGAACTAAGCATGAAGATCGAGGAACAATACTGTTCTTTTTGTTCCCAGTTGTGATTTTCCTGACGATCATTTCTGTTTGCCGCTGTAGATGCAGGCGCGGTGAAAGACTTGATATGTGATGGTCCAGACACAACAATCGCTCAAGTCATCCTGTCCTGGAAAAAAAACAATGGCCAAAACTCTGGCTTCAAGGTCACTGTAAACAACGGCGAGACCGTCAACTATACACACTCCTGCTGTAATTATACTGTGTCCAACCTTCGTCACAATACCAGTTACAATCTGTCTGTGGAGACTCAGAGCTGTGGATTACCCAGCCGCCCTGAGACTCGCCTCTGCTGGACAGGCATCACAAGTAGGACATTAACTGTTCGATGAAAATAATATTTACTTGAGTGTTCACGCCTAAACGTTTACTGCTCCCTCCCCCAAAGATCCACCCATTCCAAAGAACTATCAGGACCTTGTGGTGGTGACAAACAAAGAATACAACAAGTTCAGTCTTCAGATCAAAAGAGGTCTGCTGGACAGCATCAATGGGCCAATTACACATGTTGGGGTGCTGGTGACACAAACGGACCCTGGTTGGTTTCTTTTTCCTTTTTAATGTCATGAATCGTTGTAATTATATTGTAAACTTTGAAGGCGGAAGCGACCATATGATAAAGACATTAGACCCATAACAAGAACCTTTCTGTCAAAAGCCAATCACAGTAATTCCTCTCCTTCCAGGTGCCTCTGATTTAACAACGTACGTGAGCAAAACGTACCAAGAGTGGAAGGAACAGGCTACTCAAGTATACATGGCTACAGTTAAAAATTTAACTGAGACCACCGTTACATCACGCAGTGAAGAGGGACCTCTGGACATAGAGATAGGAAGCGAAAACAAATGGGGGGCCTACTTTAATGGTCCTTTGGAAGCCAATGAAAAATACCAGTAAGATGCAAACAAACGTGAAAATTGCAAATAATATGGTCTAACAACCTCTTTACAATGGGATTGTAAGATTGTCAGAGAATGGGAACAAGTACAAAAACATGTCAGAGAGTAACGTGTGTGTAAATCCCATTACTAATAATGTTCCATCCTGCAGATATGCTATTGTGTTGTTCACACGTCTGACTCTGGATAACCAGTTGGTGACTGGTAAACTGTTGGCTGCAACAAAGTTTTATAATTTTGTACAACTCCCACAGAACCCAGGTACCACCTTTTGACCTTAAGGTTTTGCTATTACATGCTCCCATAATGAGAGGAAACCCTAACGGACCTCTTTTTTTTGTCAACATTTTAGTTGTCATTAGCATTGCTATTGGAGTGACATTGGGAATTTTTTGCGTTCTCTTGATCATCCTCATCGGCTTTATTATCTACTGGAAAAGGTTTGTCGTCGTCATCAAGGATGAAAAATGACGAGATGATTCGGTGTACGCGACTCAACTCTAAACTCTTTACTTGTGTACTTTAGGTTATCCAACAAAGATTCGCCCGACATCCAGATTCATTCCCTGAGGTGAGGTTTTCATTTATGTTCAAAGTAAATGCATGACAATTGTTTGAATAAATGTTGCTCATCGTTGCTTTTTCTTCTTTCTTTCTCCAGAGCCAAAGTGTAAGTCTAATCGGGTCTAGATCCATCAAGTTTAAAGCATTTTAACACAAAATGAAAGCCATGAACCTGCTCTGACCTCTGGTTTCCATTTGAGCAGAAGTGTGGCTGTGAGGGTGGAGGAGTTCGAAGCTTACTACAAGAAGCAGAAAGCAGACTCAAGTTGTGGCTTTGCTGAAGAATTTGAGGTAAAACATCAGCCAAATATATATGAAAAATATTTAAACGTCATTAGTAAATGAGAAAATGTCCAATATGTTAAGATATTTATTGAATCTTCTAATTTAATAGTTTGTCTTTGTAAATGTGATAACTACAAATGTTTGTGATATCTGCTAATATTAAGTATTAACTTTTTGGATATACTGTACTTGACATGTTATTTATAAATATGGGGATAAAATATAAAAGAGTTGTCCAAACATCAAGCATCAAGCACATTTTTTCCTTTCTTCTAATAGGACATGAAGCTCGTTGGAACAGCTCAGTCAAAAACACAAGCTCTGACTTTGGAGAACAAACCAAAGAACCGCTATAACAACGTGCTTCCATGTGGGTAACCTTCATGAATCTTGAAAACCTGCTGCTTTCAACTATAACTTATCGCACTGGATCTACTGTCATTATCACTTTTTTCAATCCATATGGCAATTCTTTCATTTCATTTACCCTCTTTTCTGACCTCCTAGATGACTCTTCTAGGGTGAAGCTCTCTATCATCCATGGGAGTCCATATGAGGACTACATCAATGCTAACTACATGCCGGTGCGTACTGACGCTCTTCTGTATAAATAAACTCCCTTCTGAACAACATTGAACTCATTCTTTTGCTCAACGCCCTAATGATATTTCAACTATTGGGAACTATGTTCCCCTCCATTCAAAGTTATTTTTTGAAACACTTGAGGAGACTGAACAAGACGGATGTCTGTGTCTTGCTGTTTTATTTGCCAGGGTTACAACTCCAGGAAGGAGTACATCGCCGCCCAGGGTCCTTTGCCCGCCACAGTCAACGAGTTCTGGAGGATGATCTGGGAGAAGAACGTACAGACTCTGGTCATGCTGACACGCTGTAATGAACAGGGACGAGTAAGTGGCAGCAGCGTGCGTGCGTCTTTGCGTACTCTGACACACACACTTTATGTCTTCCTTAATGATATCACTAACACGTTCCATGAACGCCTCCTTAATCTTAAAACAATTGTGTACCATTATCAACATTTGCTTGTCTGGCTATTCAAGTGAAGATGTTTTCCCATAGCTATTGCATTAGATTATAATTGCTTTATTAATGTAGAGCATTAATATTCATATAACAATGTTGCACATTGCACATCTCACACTGTGGTTTCTTAAATAGTTTTAATGGCTTTAGCAAAGTCAATTCATTAAACATGTCTGAGTACTTGAAGTCGGTTATAACGAGAAAATTGTCTTACTTTTCTAGGTGAAGTGCGAGCAATACTGGGATCACGGCACAAAGCACTTTGACAAAATTACTGTGACAACATCCTCTGAAATTGAACTTGAGGACTGGACCATCAGGGACTTTTACGTTAAAAATGTAAGTGAAAGTGAAATGCTAAATATTCAAAATAAAATATATATTTAGGATGGTAAATATCAACAGTGAGCGTCAGTACACAACATCATACTAAGTTTAGTTGGAAATACTTTTCCTAGAGCCACGTGAAGGAACATTGTATTATAAAATAAATCATTGCAACCAATTCATTAGAATGTAAAAAGCAGTCAAACACAGCCTGTGTTTGTAATTTTTGATGAAATTCATACACATATTCAAGAGTCATGTGCATCAATTTTCATTTGCAAATATTTGGGATTCGTGTTGTTCCTTCAGGTTAAGACAGCAGAGACCCGTTTAGTGCGTCATTTCCACTTCACGGCGTGGCCGGATCACGGGGTACCACAAACCACAGAGCTTCTCATCAGCTTCAGACACTTGGTCCGAGAGCACATGGACCAGTACTCCAGAAACTCTCCTACTGTGGTCCACTGCAGGTTTGACACACACAGACACACACACACACACACAAACACACACAAACTTTCGCCTTCTGTCCATCTCTCATCCCTTCCTTGTCTGTGTGTCTACGTTGTCTACACTCAGTGCTGGTGTGGGACGCACAGGTACCTTCATCACCATCGACCGCTTGATCTTCCAGATCGAAAGGGAAAACCTTGTGGACGTGTACGGCATCGTGCACGACCTGCGCATGCACCGGCCCCTTATGGTGCAGACAGAGGTGGGACACAGTCAAATAGCTTTTGGCTTAAAATGGTCGCATTGCACACGTTTTATGTGAAGACTTTATTAAGTGTGTTGCACCTCAGTGAACTTGTGTATTTGATATCCCTGCAGGACCAGTATGTGTTCTTAAACCAGTGTGCCCTGGACATCATCAGATCAAGAACTGGAAACAATGTGGATCTAATCTACCAAAACAGTGCTGCAATGTCTATTTATGAGAATATAGATCCAACAACAGGTTACCTTCGTGCATAGGCCCAAGAGAACACTCAGGTCTTCTACTTCTCTTTTTACTCTTAACAAAAGAACGTGCAAGAGGAATGCTTTAATGCAATTGCGCTCTATTTATTGTTGTGCACACCTTTTGTTGAGAACCGTGTAGCTTTCTGGATCCAAACCAACATTTTGTGGTATTTATAAATTGTAAATGTAAGATATTTGTAAAAGAAGGGAGCTGGAAATGGAGATGCAACAGGGGGCATAATCACTGACCGATGATTTTAGGATTAATTATAAACTTTGGTCAAATATAAGATCTCTCTTATAACTGCAGGTTTTTTTATCACTCTTTTTTTTATTCAGCTTTTTTTTGACTTAAAGATGATTAAGTTTTCTGCTCAGGTAATAAGTTAAACGCTGTGTAGATATTTTTCAAAACTTGTATGCTTTGGTGCCAGTAGGTGGCACTCACAGTGTTTTGATATTTCCTTGTAACTAAAGCTTTAGGTTTAAGTCAGATCATGCAGTTAATAATTTTTTATCATGGACGTAAAGCAAATTGAAAATTTACAATGTCTTTTAATGAAAGAGTTCCCTTTACTGTTTGTTGTAGTTGCACTGTAATGAATAATGCACTGGCTGCATTGCTGATTCTATGAACTGTCCACTTTTTTAACTATACAACTATTTTCGTATCGTTGACTACATTCTGGCCGATGCTTTGTGAAACAGTTTTGCTAAGACTAGTCGCAAAACCGCCATTTGCCCAAGATGCAATGGACACTTTGGTCAAATTTATTTTACTTGTTTTGTTTGGTTTGGATCGCAAAAAAAATAAACTCAGGGACTTAAAACAACAGCAGTTGCACATTCTGCTGGTGAGATATGTTGTTGGAAATGACAAACAACAGCTTGTTGCTTTTGTTTTGTTGATGTCCTTCTCTAGAATGTACATTCTTCAAAGAAACAACCATGTCATGTCACTTCCTGCCGCATATCTTGTCTATCTGAGACAAATAGAGACGTCAGACAGATTATTTCCTTCCAGCTTCTAAAGGAGCCAAATGTTCCATGAGGCAGCTACGCTTTTTATGTAATTAGCCTGTAGAGATTTTTTGAATGAATGTTCACTGAAAGCACTTAATGAAAACAAGGAAATAGTCACAAAGTTGTGTTTTTTAAATGCTTTATGCTTGCTGGTACAATGCAAATAAATGTAAAATGAAGATTAAATATTTGTCAGCCCTTGAATCTGCAAAAGTGGGATTAAGGATGCATCGTTTTACTAACTAAGGTTTCCTCCCCCTTTAGCAGCACCTTGGAGGTGTTGGTATTGGGTTTGTTGATAGATATTCATATATTATATATTACCCATATTCATTCATGCATAACGTTGGAAGTCTGAAGTTATATTTCTCTCCATCCTCATGTAAGCATCTGGTTACAGACCTGTCTCAGCTAGAATGGTTATAACATTTACAGATTTGCTTCCCAGTTAGTTTGGCCCCAATCAACCCACTTTACCGCTGCTTTGAGATGTGAGCTCAGGCTGCAGGACTCTGAGGCTGTTATCTGGTCAAATAAATTTAATTAAAGAAAATAAAAATGTACAGGGCCAATGTACTTTGTTATTTTTGATACCCTTGATCTTTCCCAACCTCAAAATGATTAAGCGGAAAAAAACAGATTAGCTTTATTCACCATCAACCTTAACATGCTTGTTTATTGTTGGTTTTGATTATCATTCTGTATCTCGTGAATAGTTGACAAACTCCAGATTTCTCCAGTTTGAATCACGTTACCAATTTCAGAACATTTCAAGCTTTTAATTTCGGTTCATTACATCTGCTAACTTGACTGTGCATAAAAAAACAGTTCTAGAATGCACATTAGCTAAGTACTTGGTGTCTGCATCTAATCACCCATAATTGTAAGCTAAACAAATGATACTTATTAAGTATTACTAAGTAGCTAACATTAGTTGTGCAGAAGTTCCATATTTTAAACTTAACCTGACCAATGTACCATAACCGAGATATTAAGTAAACAATATGTTTGTTTATTGTTTTATTTGTGTAATGTAACCATTATGTTGGTTTGTCCAATCCGAGCTAATGTCATTGAGAATATTGTATTATCTGTGTCTAAGAAGGTACTTTCTTCAAAAATAAACCCTTAATGTGTGACAGCTGCACAAGACCCCGTATAGCTGATATCTTCATGATGAAAATCGTTTTTGAATTCTATCAGTGAAAGGGAAGGATGAACAGAAGCAAACAATATAAAAGGCTGCGTGCTGCAGAGGAGGACTGAGCTGGCACACTTTGCATTATTCAGAACAACTTGGATGTTGAAGGTACCTAAGTGTATCCTCAAAGGATGAATAAGTAATGCATTGCTGTTTTCTTACTACATGAGTGAAAGCCTTATACACAGCCTCAAAAATGTCCTATTTTTACAGCTCACATTAGTGAGGGGGGGGGGGGGGGGCGGTTTGGTGCAATATGGAGGTGTTTTTCAGGGCAATCCTTTTAAAACAGAGGCATGTTGATAAGGTATTGACAGTGTGTTGGCTGAGCAAGCCTGATATTTATAACATTTTTCTCTCTTGTCATCCTTGTTTCATGTCTCTTAGACGGACAAGTTTGATCTAAAAATAGATGTTGCACTTAAATGCCTCTTTCTAGCTTGCTATGCTGTGATGGTTGGCGCCGTCATGTCAGAAATCCAGTTTTCGAATGGAAAATCAAAACAGGACCAAAAAAACCTCACTGATCCAAATGATGTGTTCAAATGCTAATGTGCCAGTAAATTCACCACAATGGATCGTACCAGCATATCTCAACATCTGATTGAGACAATACAAAAACAGAGGATTTGTGCTCGTTCACGTAGAGGAACACACCACCACAAAGCTATGCAAGGTTCTTGCACCGACCTTCTTAAGAACTGTGAAGTTCACAATGGAGCAGAATGAAGACTTTCAGACACTACGCCTTGCAATGCTAGCCCTATTCTCTGTGAACAGCAATGCTTACATGCGTTTTGTGATAAGGAAAATTACCTATATGATGAGTTTTGCTCTTATAGCACTGTAGCAACTATAAGTTGTACTCAAATACAACTTTAGGTTATGTATACTTATATATACTATAGTGTGTATACTATCCATATATTTTTCAAGCTTTAAACATTCACTCCTTTTCAAATATTTCCTCTTATTCCTTATTCATATGTTGTTACATATTTTTCACATGAACACGATTTTATATGTGATTTATAATTATGGATTAAACTAAGGTGTGTATAGTAAAAAAAGCTACACTTGTAGCTGTTAAAGCGGTACTTATGTGCTAACTCCTAAATAATGATACAGACAAGAAACACATTTGGTTACTTTTAAAATAAATTAATATTATCAGTTTTATTCTGGTTTACCGCCGTTGAACCACGCGGCGGGTGTCGTGCGCCACTGCCGCCGCAGGGGGTCGCCACGCGCGGCTCCTCGGGCGGCGCGCGGCAGCCAGACTCACGCGCCGCAGCCGCAGGAGGAGGACGCGGTCCGCGCCGCACTCTGCCTGTTGAGACTTCTCCTCCCGGCCGACTACCAACCGTCCGCCCGCTGCTTCCCCTCGACCCGGCTACCACCGCCCCCAACCCCCCACCCCCCTCTACGGTCCCTCCCCGTGCTATGACGCTGGGGTGGGAAGGAAGCTCGGACACAACTGGATCGGCGACCCTTCGGTGGACACAGTGAGTTTAACGTTGCGTTTATTTGCACCCCCCCCCCCCCCCGCGGCTGCCGTTATCCCACGCGAAAAGGTGTTTCAACCGGAGGAAAGGTGCGGTTTGGGTAAAGGTTCCCTCCCAACTCCACACCAGTCTCGTTTGTATTTAGTAGTGTCCCTCCCCGCCCCCCCAACACGGGGCATCTGAGAAGGACATTGGAAGACATAATCTCACGACACGGTGAGGATTTCCCTTCTTTCTTTTCGGACCGTTCATTTTACTGTCATTTCGCCGCAATATTTGGACGAATTCGGCCCGTTGTCATGGTAACGTCTTCCGCCCCGCGCCACCCGCGCGGGTAGCGGCGCATCGTGCCAGCTAAAGGGGCACCTAAAGGGAACCCTCACCCCCATGCGGCCGCACGCTGGCTGTCACTCGTTCGCTTGGCAACCGTCAGACGGAGCCGATGTCGAGGGCTGCTGGTGGGCAAGCAAGGGGCAAGTAACCCCCCACCCCCCTCTCCCCCATCACGGGACTCCCAACAGCTGCTCCAAACTACAACTGAGTTGGTAAACCGGGTAACGTTTGATGTGTCCCCCCCCAAACACCCGCCCACACGGGGTCGACCGTAGTATCTCAAAGCTGCGGTGACGCGGTTTCAATGAGCCGCACCGCTTGGTACCGACGTGTAGCGGCACGACGCGGGCTGCGATCGGCGCCGTGAGGCTGGTGGACGTTTACGTGTCAAACACCGGTGTGTTCGGACAGGCCGAGACGTCCTCCGCGTGGTTCTAATCCGGTTTCCGGTGTGACGGCAGAGCTGCGACCCCTCGTCGGCTATCAGCCCCCCCCTTATATTAAAAGCACCCAGTAGTATTGATGATGCACATTTAAGCAGAAACAGCCTTCATGTCAAGCATATGACTGCATTTAAGTGTTTATTTATTGATTACAACTATATTGATAAATTGGCCAATGTTGTCTTTTTGCAGACATGGTGGTACGTGCGTAGATTTCACCAGATAACTATAAAGACAGTAGACAAATACTGAAATCCAAATCCATACCGTTCCGTCCAAACAGTACTGACTAATTCATTTTTCAACTTCAAAATTCTCTGCACAGTGCATTGCTTTTTAAAACTACATATAAATCTAATTTAAAGGTTGCTTAGTCTATTTCTTTTTCATTTTCTGTGTATAAAAAAACACAGCAACATATACTAAAATTGCTGTTGGCTACACTATCAGTAGAACTGAACTTGTAGTATTTGGTATCTCTACGAGATGATCACTAAATAGAAGATTTTAAAAGTGCCATTTTGCCTCTTCGTTCTTGGTCTATCCCAGCACAGATAAAGAAGAGCTCATCATGTTGAATCGCGTGCTATGTGTAGTCGGGCTGTGCTGAAGATGAGAATGAGAAGTGCGCTTTATTGGTTTTAAAGGTCACTGGTGTCACTCAAAATAGAAATAAAAAAAATGAATAAAAAGAAAAGGCTTCCCAAGCACAAGCGGAAATGATTACCGGACGGTTGGAAGGTAAATGTCGGGGGATGTTTGGGAAATTGCGGCTGACTGAGAGGAGTTTGTGGCAAAGCTCTGTGGAGTCCCTGCTGTGTGGATGTCAATGCTGCTTTACTTTCAGATGACTCAATTTGTCTGAGTGGGTTATACAGAACATTCAAGGCCTGATTTACCCGTATAGAATTCTCTTTTCCGACTGGCGCTGAACAAAAATTGATCTAATATTGAATGACCGAAATAGGCCGGACTAAAAGTGGTGTCAATAGCAGGGATGGAAAAATATCAGACATTGGAAGGTCATTGGACTGGAAATAGGTCATGAGATCAATACCAAGAATGGACTCTTATTTGCATACCCTGTTTTTAGTCTGTGTTGCTTTAAATACTCTATGTTTGATTTGATGATGATCGAATTGAGTTCTGTGCTGATCTCTCAACTCCCAGAGTCTGGTCGTACCATGTGACATTCTACCTTTTACTAATCAGGTCGGGATATTTAATGGTGTTGGACCGTAAGCCTATCAACTAGAGCTGAGGCTTTGCGCCGCCCTGGATGACAAACTGGGAGAGAGTAGCCGTAAATGAAGGAAAGAAAAAAGGCTCGTTGAGAATGTGAAGAGCTGTTTGAGCTGTTACTGTGGGCGGTTAGTGCTGTTTTTAATTGTGCTTTCTCGAGGAGAGAGAGAGAGACAGACACAGATGTCCCAACCTCCATGCTGTGCTGTGAGAAACACTTAATAAGCACCATGTCCCCGACATGCTGTTGATCAGACTCCATAGGAGAAGCCACCCACGGGCTCGGGGTTTAAGACGCCAACTGTGGTGTCACTGGTTCGTGTCATCTCATCATTTCCATTCCGGCCTTTTAATATCCACTGCAAGAATGCATGAAGGCCCAATGATAGGGGAATTCACAGCCATATCTTTCTTTGGAATCCCAGTTTAGCAGTGCTAGGAGTTCACTATAATTATTGGAATAATTGTATAATTATTTCTTTCTTTTAAATTTAATTTGAACACATGCCAGTATAGGGAGACAGTTTTCTTCTACTGCCAAAATGTGGTCAAAAATGTCATTGACCTGTTGAGTTTTTATTGTCATATCATATAAATGATCCTGCTATAATATTCAACCTTGTGCGCTGTGTATCCTCGCTTTACACACAGCGCCACCGATAATATTTGATTTTAAATAACAATGATAATTGAAGGAAAATATCAGGAGGAAATCATTTTCCATAATGTCAAATAGTGTCACCTCACACTATTCAAAAGCGGTCTTTAACAAAAAAAAAAAAAGAATGCTTGATTATTACTACGTGACAAGTGTAAAAAACGGCAGATTTCTAAACCAGGCTGTGATAAATGGCTTAAAGCAGTTCTGTACCTATTCGCCTGAGATATAAATGCTTTCCCCGACGCCTACTGGGGGAATCCAGGTTAATGCTGCTCCATGTTGAATCTCTTCCTGTGCCTCCAGAGAGCAAAGGCACTTTTAGCATCCGCTATTGTGCCAAGATTCCCTTCTCCTCCTATGGTCTTGCACGGTGTTTTTCTCCAACGTGCCTTAACCTTTGTGTCTAAAAGTAGGTCCCTTTCTCACAGAATGTCACTGTTTTTCCCCCAGAGAAACCTCATCTGTGGGAACAAAATACAACAGTGCTGACATTTCCAGCATTATGCTATAACTGCATTCAATTTATAATACCGTACCAACTCGTATATACTACGTGGATTCGCCTAAACTCTGGAATTATTCCTAGCTATCACACTGCAAAAGGACGTTACGTCTCCGTTAATTTTGTTATACCTGTGTGGAGGCAAGACTCATTTCTACTGCAACACTATTAGCTGTGGTTGAGGCACCAGCATTGTAATAGTCTATGTATGTATACTCTATATATAATGTCTGTGTACAGTGGTACTTGATGTCAGTACCAGATCATGATTTGATCAAGCAGCTTTCCCTGTTTGTGTGATAAAGATAAGCCGATACAGCATTTTATGAGTGGACACTGGTATCGGTAGTCCTGGTATTGGGAGTGCTGGTTAGGGCTGTGCGCTATGGCCCAAAATGCATATCACAGTATTTAGAAATATTCTGACGGTATCCCGGCATAGTTTTTTCAAGTGAACACATTAAGTAATTGACGACGAAAAGGACCGCCGGCTACCCGAACAGCTGTTCGCCGCTCGCCGGCCAACTCGCACGCAACTGGCCGGCTGAGTTAGCGCGTTAGGTCGTTAGCGTGTTAGCTTGTTGTGGCTGCTAGTGTTGCAATTAGAGAAAATACCAGCGGCTCAACCCACTTTGCAATAAATCGTTTTCTGATCTAACTTACGACACAGCTTCTCTCTTGGGAACAAGTTGTGTTGGCGCATCTCTGGTCCCTCGTGCGCTCTTTTCTGTGTTTTCATGTAGCAACAGAGTTATGTTACTTCTTGTTGTGTCTGTGTCCAGCATGCAACTCGGTGCGGTTATTTTTTATAAATGTACAATTATTAGTGTTACAAGTTGTTTATGTATCACCAGCTGGTGTGTCGTGGTGTTTTACCCAGTTGAAGAGTGTTTGTTGTGGGCTATTCGTTGTTATATAGTTGTAAGCTGGGCGCTCTTCGATGACGTATACAAATACATCCTGCCGCCTGCCAAAGAGCAGGTCGATTGTGATGGAAACACCGGTATGAACGGTACGTGAGAAATTCAATGAATCGGTAAGTGCAGTTATTGGTATTGGTAGTGTTGGTGTTGGTGTTGTTATTACCATTGGTTATTGGTGCTATTATTGGTATTGGTTGTGCTGGTATTTGCATTAGAATACATTATAACAAACAATCTTGTCTCTCCAATTTTCTCAATGCTGTCTTGTAATACTACTTTTTTATATTGCTATTCTTGAGACAGTAAAACCGCGCAAGTTCTTTATCCCGCATTTGTCATTGTTTGTCCGTTGCTTACCTTATCCAACTAGCACACACACACACACACACACACACACACACACACACACACACACACACACACACACACACACACACACACTAAATATAGGGGCTGTAACTAACCTCCTGACCCCATGACATGTGTACCCTAGGCTGCCGGGTAGCTTGTGAATGTATTTATAGAGCCGGTTGAACACCACAGGTCCACCGCTCTACTTTTTTTCCACAGGCAGTGGCGGCTGGAATGTTGTGCCGGTAGCCTCTGCAATCGATATCTACCTCTCACTCATCTCCAGCTCAACGTGTGCCGCTTCTGCTTGTGTAAAAGGCTGCCAGCCTTGTTCTCAACCCAAAGGATCTGCACACTGTATAAAGTTGCAGAACTCCTCAAAGAAAATCACACAACTGCAAAATGAAGTTTAATTTGACTTTATTAGCGCCCAACCCCCCCCAGTCCCTCCTCAGGTAAACACTGTCAGCACTTTCGCCTTTTGCACTGTTGGCGCGCCGTTCGCTATGCCCGCAGCAACAGCCCGCTAACAGCCCGCTTGCCAT